AAACGAATGGCAAAGTGAAAGTGGCAAAAGCGGATTATATAAAACAATCAGTTAAGTCAAACCCAAAATTGAATAACCAACATGTTCCGACTAACATTTGCCTATCCAAAACTCATAAGTTAGCATCCACTGATGATTTCGCGTCCAAATATCTACCGCTATTTAGGGTTAGACCTATCACCAGCTGTGTAGACGGACCAACGTATAGAATAACATGGATTTTAGTCCTAATACTTAATGACTTTTAAAGCTTATTTCAGCCCACCTGAGGAACACCTAAATGTCTCTGGATCTTTTACGTAACACGTTGTCCTAACGGTTCGGACGTGATGGAGTCCTTTGAAGTTATCGCCCTTTGTACGAACGTGTCGAATGACTTCACTACGTGCAAGCCATCCTCGAATTCCTTATGCAACACGAAGGAAGAATAAACATGTATGGCTTTGACATTCAGCAGTTGATGTTGCTGTTAAAACAGTGCATAATCTGCTCACTCTTTAGGTGGTGCCGGAAGTGTTTGGCACAAATAGGAGGGTTATCAATGGGACAGCTACTGGTACCAAGCCTTGCCATTAAATTTATCTCTAGTTTCTAATGTCTACGAAACTGTTGCTCTTAGGGATAGATGTAGGAAAAATACCACGTCTTTATACCACCGAGCACTGAGTTCGGGCACGGTTTATTTGTTCTCTTACAAAGCGCTTCGGTGACGAATACATTGGTGAAACGGATAGACCGCTCTGCGATCATTTAGAAGAACGCCTTTTCGGTAAATTTCAAGTTAAACCAATTACTCTACTAGACACGCATAGGACACAGCGACATAACGGGGAAGATTTCGAGGTAGAACCTACCGTCCTCGCACATAAATCGAGAACCGCAGTGCGCAAGACTCTCGAAGCTTTCTGGATAAATCCCAAGAATCCGACAATGAACATCAGCGGGGAATATTCGTCATCACGCGTAATCTCACGCTGTATTCAAGACCGATATTTTAATGTGAGAGGCACATTACGCTTCCATATGAACCGTTCACGGTTGGTCTCTACGTGAATACTGAGTGAAGGACTCATAGGAAGTAGTGAGTCTGCGAAGAAGCTATTGCATTGATTGAAACCTTGGCTTAGTATTTTCTCTTTGTTATGTAGGTGCTTGGCCGAGTGGAGTACAGTCAACACAAGCTCTGAAGAAGGCGAAATCTGTCTAAACGCCGGCTTTACCGTAATAAGGAATAAAGCAAAGTCTCGTCTTTGCTTATCAAGAATGTAGTAAGTTATTTGAACAATGCCATAGGAAGTCGGTCCTAAAAGAAGTTAGACTTTTTAAATTTCTATTGAAACAGTGCAGCTGATAACTTAAAATATAAGAAAACGAGATAGGGTCCTGCTACACGAAATATCGCTTGTTCATTTGCTCTCGTGTTCGAAATATGAGCCATGAAGTAAGAAAAGGAGAGAAATATATGTCAGAGCCTCAAGAAAACGGGATTTTGTTGTGATGAAACAATAAACCGTCTGTCATGTACACAAATACTTAAAGAATCTACTCGTTTATTTTAGAAGTAATAGAATCAAAACTGCCCCAATGTGACCTGAAGTTGAATGTGACCATTATTTTCGCATAGTGTGACTCCCATTAAGGTCATGTCGTCAAGTAAAAAATAAAAGGATAAAGTTTAGAGCCTTGATCAATTCTTGAGGAATGCGCAAACATTCGACTCCATTAAGCATCGTTCGGAGGTGATTGAATGCATATCTGGCCTTTACCTACCCTACCTACCTACCGATGTATCGAGCCAGTGCCGCTATCCTCTCAGACAAGTCTGTTACCAATTTATCGACCCCCGGAGGGACGGAGAGCTTGGTGGGCCATGGACGCGGAGTTCGATTCTACGTGTGTGTTGCAGGGCGCCTCCCACCACTGCGCCACACGCGCCCTTATGTCGTCGAGTAAACGTCATATATTGGATCATAAAAATAACGACTTAATCATTGAAAGCTTTTAATATCTGTACATTAAAAGTGTTTGACGTTGATTCTTCTTTATTCAGAAACTAGCTAAGTTTCAATCATTACTCGACTTGTTAAGCTACCGCAAAATTCTTCTTAGTTTTTTTCTTCTTTTCTTCTTAGTTTTGTTTTTTGAGTCTTCTCAAACATATTTTCAAACTAAAGTCCTGTCTTATTTATGTACCGCACACCACTTCAAAACGTGAATTCCCGTTTCTCGTTTCTGCGTCATCGCTAATTTCTTAAAGATCGAAGATGGCGGGACAGGTTTCGGATTAGAGGTAAAGACATGAAAATGATGACTACTAAAAGAATTTAACTGGAGCAGATCGCTCTAATAATGATTCTGCAATTTATGCAGGTGTTAGAGGCTTAGGCATTAAAATTATTTTAAGACATCTCAAAGTAGTTAAAGCGTCGAAGAGAAGTCGGCACATGTGCTTTCGTAAATTGAACGAGTATCGAGCAGAGCATAAAGGTTTAGAAACTGTTCTATGTCTCTTATTCACAGTAATAATTATCTATTTTTAAAAAGTTGTAGCTATAAAGGAAACGAGCTTCCTACGAAAAAAAGTCGAAGAACGAGGAAGACGTTGAAGACGATGAACATCGTTGAAACAAAGATGAAAGATAGAAAGAGAAAGCAAAGAAAATCTTCATTCAAAAGACAAACTAGTAAATGCGGTAGATGATATCGACCAAAACTAAATTTTTGTAGTTTGAACAAACCATTCTGAGCCATCTTCCACAAAACAGTGTGTATTGTCGGAAAATCGAAAAACTACCCTAAGAATTTTAAAGGCTTGGACAACCTTTAGGAAGGACCATTTCTTTCGCATAAACAATCCTAACTATAAATCATGTCCTACACTGTAAGAGCTTGATGAAGTGTGATGAGGAACTTCGTCTTATACATGTACTACTTGTGGACACTTATCAGCAAAAGATTACTACCACTTTTCAAGCACACTGCTTCTTGGATGACTTTCTTAGGCTGCAGAATCGTAAGACTTCACTGAAGTCGAATAAAGAAGCCTGTAATAATATTTCGAAACCGACTTTCTCTAAACCTCGGTGTGACTAATCAATATGTATTCTTTTTTGATAACCTTGCACGAGGTTGATAAATATATTTATTTTCGGCTAACGTTTCGACGTCTTCGTCTTCCTCAGAGCCCATGATCCGAGTCGATGGTCCATGATTGTTGTTCGTCTCGACGTTGCAGCTTCGCCTTCGCGTCGTATACACGATGCTGATGGTGGATATACAATGATAGTGCCCGGTGGTAACAACTTGTGTTTCTTCCGGGCATACATCATTGCGCACATCGTGCAGAAGTCGGTGTTTTTATCAGCTAGCACAAAGCGTAGTAATGTATGAAAGGGCATCACTGAGTGGGGATGCCTCATTCGAGAAGATGGCTCACTGAGGAAGACCTGGCTCGACACGAAGGCGAAGCTGCAACGTCGAGACGAACAACATTCATAAACCATCGACTCGGATCATCGGCTCTGAGGAAGACGAAGACGTCGAAACGTTAGCCGAAAATAAATATGTTTATAACCTCGTCCAAGCTTATCAAGAAAGAATACGTAAAAAAGCCTGTATTTTGTCGTAGGAAATACAAGTAGAACTCCAACATATTTGGACTAAGATATGCACATTTGAAGTTAAAGGTTCGAAATTGAAAGGTTCGGCAACCTAATAATTCAACAAAAAGTCAATAACGTTAGGACTGATAACTATTTACTCTAGGTGACAATATTCTCCATTGTCACTGCTTTCTATGAACTATCATCTTTGCTACGGAAGAGTCTGAATTTTAAGAGTGATAAGTTTAGCCTCTCAGGATTCCCAAATGGGTACCTGTTTTTTCGTTAGCGCACCCGTACTAATTTGGTTAATTTCTTGCTCACGTGGCATACCACTAGATTGTCCACAAGATCTCCCTAGTCCTCCGGAAAAACGTTGCGCTGCTCCCTGAGTTTTTATGCTGATGCCGAATTGACTATTCAAAAATTGCTGGAAAAGCGGCTCGTTCGACGGGCTCGGAAAGATGGATCGCTTTCGCTGGCTCAGATTTGTGCCGTATGTTAATGAGACGACGGCTAGAATCGCGAGGTGTCATCTTACGATTCCGAAATTAACCAACTGGTGGCACGTACTCTTTAGTAGTGTCAAGTTCGTAAAACCAGTAATGGTCTGAAAATGTCCAATTTGATGTGATTTGTAACTTTTCGTGTTGGTGATTAACCGCTATTCTTCATTCCATCACTTCATATTGAATTAAGGCAGTGGTCTTTGTGACAATTCGGATGTGTTTAGAAATCCTTTATGAAATCAATCACTATCTTCTTTAAGTTCACTATTACCGGTATTGCTTCGTTGCTTTTTTTCGAAATGTTTGACAAATTTTCGCCTAAAGAATTTTTCGACGTCACAAATTCCTATCTCGGAGCTATTAAATGATAACTTATTGAGGCTCATCCTCCAAACGGTTTACCGCCTCATTATGGCCGAGAGGTATTCCTGGGTGTCGGGCTGCAATGTACAGCGGGGATCCATTCCTTCAATCCGGCGCTTCCATCAGAAAGGCCAGCAAGAGTAAACCAATACCAGAAGCCACCACCGTTTCGGTGTCAAGCTAATCGCATTGGGCGCGGCTCCCTGTAGTGGTGGCAACCTAGTAGGGAAAACTTTAGCATGCTGATCTCGGTCGTCCATTGAACCACAATAGTTAAACCAGCAAAACTCCGAGAATATGGAAATTATGTTGAGATCCGTACAACCAGCGAAGACGGGTCATCCAGGTATCTAAGTATCCAAGTATTTAGATTTATGGAATGAAATGCGTGACCATTCGGCTCTAAGGCATTTCCAGGAACGGTGTTTCCTGAATTATAGTTAATCAACCCGCTTCGACTGATTAATACAACAATATGTGGTATCTAAATGGGACCATAATCATCTCGATCCCACTAGGTCCATCCCTAACCGGCGTTGTCGATTCTTCTTTTCCTGTTCGTTCGCCCTTTGAGAGGACCGGGGGCGGCGACGATTTCGATTTGCTGTCGCTTCAACAGCTCGCCATCCAGACGACGAATGTCGGAAGCACCTGCACTCGAGAGGCGCTCATCTGCTGCCTTCGAGCGACGGCTGTTCAAAAAACGCTCACACCCCTGAGCGGAGACATCATCAAAATGGCATCCCAGCTCTGCAGAGGATGACCTGATCTCACCACTACGTCTTTGAATTCCCCACGGATTCATCCGCTGGCCAGTACGCCCGCAGATCATGCAGAAAATGCTAATCGTCTCCCGATCACCTTGACGCACGGATGTCGATGCCAGATGTCAATATGTCCTAAGAATTACATGAGACGTTCAACATCTCAATACCTGTTGATCATGAGCTTTTTCTACTTTAGATTTTATAGAAAAGTGTAAGGCTAATAGCTCGTTTCAATGAATCCATCTAATTTAAAAGCGTAAAAAAGACAAAATATGAATTCATTTGCTAACTTTTATGGGCTGACAAGCAGATCTCTATCGTGTAATGCATTATTCTTAGTGATAAGAAGCGGAATGGGATTTCTTATATTGGGATTCCCAAAGATTTTTCCACTGTTTGTATGGACAATTGTCCACCATACTCGCATATGAATGCCCAGGAAAGCCTAATTCAGCTGTGACTACTAGCTTAAGTATCAATCACTTTCTTTACTGCAACTAACTCAGTTAATCACAGTGTGAATTGAGCGTAAACTGCAAAAATTTCCATTTTTCTTGTTGACCATCAGACTTTCACAAAGGGACCCGGTTCACTCGACGAATACGAAGCGCATTACGCTTATCGCATGAAAGGCCCCTTAATTGTTTATTGCTTTTGGAAAGAGGATAGATACACAGGAAAAGTACAACCGTATTCAAATAGAAGGTTATCCGTTTTGGGGCTATGGGTATATTGAAGGAGATTGTCGCAGCAGTAGTGAACATCGACACCAATGAAACAAATCAAGCTTAGTGAAAACGTCAAGAAATCCTCGACGATCGTTGATTAGAGCACCAGGGATGTTGGTTCAAACAAAGACTAACCACTCGTCATAGTGAATCTCATACCAACACTACGGCTTCTAGGAAGATTTCTCGACACCGTCATAATTTAAATGATGTCTTTCTTCTTCAAAATACGATAAAAAACTACCTTTTGTGCTAGATTTTTCGAATTAAATGATGAAAACCTCGTTTTCCAATAGTTTCTGAAATTTTTTCGGTAATTAATCCCGTCACCAGGGTGAGATTGCGTTTCGCTATAACCGCTAGGACATTTCCTTTATTTCCAGAGGAGAAACATAAAGCAGATAACCTCCAGTTTAAAGTAACCCGAAACTGGATGAAGCATCAATTGTCTGCCAGTTGCCTGCTACAACTGTTTAAAGGATTTTGGATCTATGCATATTTATCGCTACTTGATATTTGTTCCTAATAATTAAGTTTGTATAGCGCAATGGTCAGAAGTATTCAGTATTAAAAACGTGGTCTTTGGTTCGACACCGAGACTCAATCTAATCAAGTTTTCCAACTTCTCTTTCTTGAAAAATTAAGACGAAACTTTCCTGGGAGATAACAGCACTAATATGACTTTTTTTGGGTTAATAAGTTTGAATAAAGTGTTGCTGCCAGGTTAGTACATGGTAGACCGCCGCAACTCACTGTACAACCCAAGCATGCATTCACTAACCTCTGCGATGGTACGAATGGAACTAAATTCACTAAATATTCTTCAAAAACTTTTTCAGAAGGTAATCGTTGTCGAGAACTTTATCATTTAACCTTTTAAGCTGGGCTTCTCTTCCTGGTCTGTTTGACATATCGATGTTACAGCTATGCCATTCATTGATCCAAATCCTTGAATCAAAAAATTCCCTTTCGTATAGCGTTAAAATAAATAATTTATTATAAAATACAAGAAACAACCTGGACACAAGTTCATGATATGGGGAAAATGATATTGTATATCACAATACACGGACTGAATGGTGAGAAGAGGCAATATAAAAGACAGCGGGGGATAATTTCCCATATATTTAAAGAAGTTCTACAACATCATAGAAAAATAAGAAAAAAGCTTCCTCTCTTTAATTCTGTCATCGTTTCGAAAGTGAAAAAGAGCTGGATATCCGGAACGAGGTTAGCGGGCCCGGCTAGGAAAATATGGCAAATTGAAATTAAGCTGAGGTTAAGAAGATTCTCAAAAATGGTCTCGTTGTCTCGATGAGATGAAAACTAGTACAGGATTACACTTCGGAAAGAAAAGAGAATACCGAAGTCTCACTAAGCCGTCAATAATATGCTCCGTTATGACTAGTTGACTTTCAGTTTATAATTTAATAGAAGAGTTGATATATTGATATATAGTGGGTCGATCTTTGATGAGTTCATCCTAAGAACTGTACACAATCCCTCAGAGTGGCTGTTTACCTTCTAATTGCTGTAAGATTGAGTAGGATATGCGCTGCTCTATGCTCGTCATTGACGGCTTCATGGGATCATTACAAGCAAATTCTCTGCCTCGTGAAGTCAAACCAATCAAACTAGCTTCATATTTTTCTGCTCATGATATCGAAACACTTAAGACCGCGAGATCTTAGTGAAGCATGCGAATCGAGAGCTTACGATAGACGAACTATAGGTCCTGATGGATCAATCAGAAGCTACCAGCCGGCCATTGGATGCATTTTCAATTCGTTGGAATACATTGACGGAAGTGGTTGATATCCACCCATATCGTGGTCGAAATCTGTGGGAATAAGGGAAGTGGGAATAGTGGGCACAATACCTCCACTGCCGCTACCAGCCATAGGAGACGTCCGTTCGCCAAAACCATCTGCAACAAAGATTTCTGGTTATGCTTTCATTATACGAAAGCTAATGAGAAAAAAGGAGACAGGCGTGGGTAAGGGTAACTAGTAACAATAATTGAAAGTGAGCAAGAGGAAGCTAGAACCTTGAGACAACGTAAGAAGGTAAAATATTCTGCTCGTTATTGATCGTTTCTTTATAGGGTTTTGCTAGAATAGTTCTTCGGCTATGCTTCTTCGCTTTTAGTTTGCACTCAAAATAGTTTTGAATAAAGAAACCCACTCAATTAACTTAAACTGACGAGGTAGTACTGAGGACGTATTGACCTTTTTCATTGTAATTTAAAATTCTCAGTCCTGTTTTGATTAGGGTATAAAGCAAATTGCTTTACTCTAGCTATAAATATTGCAGCATTTATGAATACCACAGTAATTCACCATGTACTAACGGATGAGGGGTGTCGGTTGCGACTGGAAACGCCGGCACAGGCGGAAGAGGTCCTCGTTCACTGTACGGATCACAGAAGAAACCAATCGGATGCTGACTAAAAAATCCAGGAGGAGGACCATCTGAAAATGCCTTGATGAATTTAAATTTCTATAACCCATAGAGCAAACGAAAAAAAATTTGGTTGGATCCGAAGAAACAGGATCCGTTCTGGATCAGCGAAAAATCGCAGAGCACTTGTATAAACATCACTGCTTTCCAGCTAGTCTCTTTCTCTACCCTTTTTCGTTTCGAATAAATCTTTTCCTCGTACTTGTTTTTTCCTAAATCCACTTCAGTGGAACATTATTTTAATAGTAGTGGATTCTTTACAAATGTTTAAATAGTACATAAACTGATTGGAGAACATTTAGCCCTTCCAGTATTATTGATTACCGTTTACAAAAAACGCTATCAATCAATCTTTAAAAATTGTAGATAATTGATTAGTTTAGTTAGCGAAACGGCAAACTAACTAAGATCTTTGCTCGTTCGCTGTTTTCATATGTGGGGCAATTCTTATCTGAAGCTCATCTTCTTCCCTTATAATCAAGTATAAACTAATTAAAAACCGTTAATGAGATAAACTGGGATAAACGTTAAAGCTAACAAAGATATTATCGAAAGAAAGACTAAAACCAAAGATAAAAAAGCTAATATAAATCTTCAAGTAGCTAGCCTTCAAAAGAATATCCCTGAATATGTAGGTTCGATTTGTCTGATTCAATGAAGTCAAGTCGTTTCGAAAATCAACAAGAAGCGAACCATTGGTATATCTACTTGATACGTGGACGACCCGTCATCACTTGTTGTGCGGGTCCCAGCATAATCACCATTTCTCGGAGATTTGCTGGTTAAGCCATTGTGGTTCCCTGGAATCCCGAGGTCAGCCTGGCCAAAGTCTGCCTCAGGTCGTCACCACAACAGGAAGTCGCAGCCCTTGTGGATCAGAAAGAGATTTGCCACCATGCAACTTTGATACCAGAACGGTGCTGGATCCTGGTATTGGTTTACTCTTAGCTAGACTTCCAGATGAAAACGCCGGACTCCTTCTCAGCTTGAGAGACCCTGCCAAAGGATGAACCCCCCGCTGCACATCGCAGTCCGACACCCCGAAACACCTCCCAACCACAATGAGGCGGTAAAACGTTAGGAGGGAACCATTGCTAATGTTGTATTAATTCCAGTTGAAGTCCTAGTTAGCCTTTAGCAATTTAAAGTCCTTATGCTTTGAAGTTCCCATTTGCTTGTCATTCCATAAGAACATCCCACCCTTTCTCTATCGATACCACTTTTCGTCGGGTGTGCATAATCCGAATTTTTCTCCTCAGACATAGATGAAATAGTAATCTATTCTGCTTTTGTTTATTTTCCTGCATCATATTCTAATATTCTATTCCAAAACTGCCTTCTAATTCTAATAAAAAAAAAAAAAAAATCTAATCATGTTTTGTCATTTTCTCCTCATTTCTGGCGTGTTCAGAGCTCAGTATTGGTAGTATAAAAACAACGATGCACTTCAATAGTCGCTCATTCCCTCCTTGACCCGAAAGGATCGGCATATCGGCGATGAAGTTTTGAAGTCGAATTCGTCCGGTTCTTTTCCTACATCAGCAACAACAGCAGCAGCAGATCATTGTGTCGTCGGCCAGATGCGCCACCACCCGACCCTAGCCGAAGTCAAGTGTTTTGACTCTTCAATGCTTAATCGAGCGCATATGGTCATCATCGGTTTACGGTGGTGGGCGATGGTGTCACCTGCGGTCCACGTATTATGACGCAATGCTCCGTAATCATCGCAATCAACCGCTCAGGCTGGCAATTGCATGTGCTATTCCCATACGGCTCATAGGTCACCAAAGGTCATCACTATGAGTTGCACATGAGGGTTCATAACCGCTGTGAGTCCCACTTGATGGTTCAGCACCACTATTGAGTCATACACAGGGGGTCATCATCGCTGTGAGTTGCACTCAACCGTTCAGCGCCATTACAAGCCACCATCATGGGCCTCAGTTAAGGGTATCGTCTTTTTGTATCTCCACTTTAGAATATCTTAAAGGTAATTTTCTTCAGTCAAAGATTTTGCTCAGTAATAGTTTTAGCAGAGACAATGGTTGCTTCACCCATCGACTAGTAATCTAATTTCTTCACAGTATCTCAACGATGGACGCGTGTACCGTAGTCGCCAGAGACACCATGGGCAAATTTGTACCAGACTTGTCTGGGAGGATAGCAGCACTGGCTCGATACATCGGTAGGCCACCGCGAGTCATTGTAAAGGCCAGATATGCATTCAATCACTTCCAACGATACTTAATGAAGTCGAATGTATGGCTCACTTATTCCTTATCTCAATGATTGATGAATACACAACAGAACCACTTATAGAAAACAGAATACTAGCACAACGTTGCTGAGATATTTCCAAACCTCTGTACCGCAGGTGTCTATGATGGGGAACGAACGCGCTATTGTCCTTTCCGGAGAGTAACGCGTTCACCACCACACCACCATATACGCCTGCGGTCCAGAGTTTTGCAAATATCTCAGCAACGTTGTGGTTGTATTTCGCTTAGTACCCCGCCGCGAAATTATAGTAGGCAGAAAATAAAAAGGTATAACAGAATACTAGGTTATTCACTGGTTGTTGTCTCAATCTTATTCTTTAGGCTACACTCGTCTTCAGTACTTCGACGATAGTTTTTCGAATTCGTTTTACTGGGAAAGAACTGGCAGACGATAAACTCTATGAGAGTTGGGGCTTTGTTCCCACTCCACTTACAAAAATCGAATTTTTTGATGCTGAACACAAAATACATCCCACAATGCTCCAGAAAATGTGTAGTTTAGAATTAAAATTTATGGAACTTCTTCTTCTGTGGAGCCGTTCTCTAAAAATATCCCTCAGAGGGAAAAATTCATCGTATTAGTAAAATAGATGCTCTTCTACCAGAACCACACAGCACGTTACATTGAAGAAACAAGGATCTGTCTCTGGCTTTTTAAAAAACTGTGTTTCTATAAAGTTATTCAAGTATTTGAATAATAGAATCGATGTTGATAAAGTATTACCATTGAATAATGGAAATTTTCTTTAAACCTAAGATATTTCATTGATTTATTATACAAGCTGACCTCGGGATTCCAGAGAACCACGATGCTTAAACCATTAAATCCCCGAAAAAGTGGAGGTTCTGCTGGGCCCGCACAACCAGTGAGGAGGGGGTATCCAAGCTTCCAAGTACACAGGAAGTTTTCTTGACGTCTAGTATTTAAATTTGTGAGTTTTTTCAGTCTCTATAAAAGTTTACTCTGCTCATTACTATACCTATCAAATTATCACTAATGCTACTATAATCGTTGTACGGTGTCAAAGTGTTCGTGTACAAAAGGTCTTAAGACCGGCAAAAACAGTACGTCGATGCTCTTTATCTAACTGGTTAGTGCAAGACTACAAAATTAAAGACCATCGTAGAACGAGCTTTCTGCTCTACCACCTCGTAAGTTAAGGAGAAAATCTCTACTAAATCTCTTATAAGTTAAGTAGGTGGAAGTAAGAGTAAGCGACGGTGACACCTGCTGGGAAAATGTCCTGACAGATTTCATCACGTGCACCTCGATTTCGTCTTGTTGGACGGAAACCGCCGAATCGTAACTGCTTCATTCGTCTCTCTTTACTGCGACGATTTTGAAACCAAACCTAAAATCATAATTTTTTATCTGTGACGATTGTTTTTACTCTGATCCCAAAGAAGTGATTCCCGTGAACATTTTCGAAGATTATTAAGCTAAAAAGCTTAATTCGAATAGAAATGTGCAGCTACAGCTAAAAAAAATGTAGATGTTTCCAGTATTGATCGATATTACTATAATGGACAAATTAAAACGGGTGGTAATCTAACACATTACTTTGTTAGTAACAGAGATAAGTCAATATCAAATGAATGCATTAGAAAGGTTTTGTGGGTGAAGGTTGACATTTGCTGATGTTTCACCGGGGTTAAATCGCTAGATGTAGGATTTCCGTTTTCTTTGATGTTAGGAAGATTAGATATTCAAGACATTTTAGTCTCAAGTATTACTTTACAAAAGGAGATAATAATATGATGGTTAGATATGAGAAGGATCGGTAAAAATCGATGAGATGTATAGTAAGGATCCGTAAAAATCGATAAGATACATATGAGAAGGATCGGTAAAAATAAATACTGTACACCTTAAGAGAGTCAGAATGGTGATGTTTGTCTTTTCTTATTCTTGAATTTCCTTACTCAATTTAGTCATAAGGGATCATAAGCAGATATTTCAGGACGTTAACCATTGTCTCCATATTTAATTAGAAAAATTCAATCCCTTGTGATGCTCATTAAGTAATAATCTTTGAAACTTTCCGAGGAGAAAACAAAGGATTCCGGAAAACGATCGATTTCTGAACTGGGACCAATTCACGATTTGCTCAATCTATCCAGATAATCTTCATATGGATTCCTATAAATACTTAGCAGTCGTTAGTTCCGTTGTCCCGCCGTTCTTATTACGAAACCCGACTTTCCTTTAAACTAAGAACAACTAATCAAATTGTATTTTTTCCAATACACTTTCTTTCATCAATAAGTTAACACGAGGCTGTTACCAAACAGTCACCACTTGCTACCAAAGGCTGCTAACACTTAAATGTCTAGCAATAACCTTGTGTTAGCTCATCACTGAGCGAAAGTACATCGAGTGTTCACACTAGAGTTAAATGAAAGCCCGTTTACGGTAGTATTTTTTCATCGACGACCTAACATAAGGTTGACAAAAACATTCGGCTGAAATACTTGTCGTTTGGAAAATTATTTAATCTAATAACCATAATCTATTACGTATCCAGTATAGCATAGTATTCAGTGCACATCAGTGAAAAGTCCTAAAACCGACTTTTCTTCAGCCTCGGTGTTGATCAGGAATACACCGTTTTCCTGATGAGTAAATATGAGGTTGTTATTGCAGCATTTATGAATTCACAATAGTCGATGTTTCGGCGGTTTCGCCTTCTTTAGATCCAAGAAAGGTTAAATTGATATACAACCCACTCGGACAAACGCTTTTATAACCTCGGTGGTTAAAACTTAAAACGTAATCTTTTCATTCGCATAATAGACAGCTTCTTTCATCATCAAGGATATCGGATCATTTCGTAGTCCAGCTTTCGATCACTGCTTTCTTACTGTAGGAACGATGACGAAAGCAGCGACAGCGGCCATGGAGGAGGTTGTGCCCTGTGGCTGATGCCTGCCGCTCTCCGGCTATTCTGCAAAGCTAAGCGCACGCGGATACGGTAATTGAATTGGCTTCCCGAGGGAGAAGCAGGTGAATTAAAGAGGGAAATGAGCTGTGGATGAGAGAGTGCTTCCGACCACGGAGACCCAAACACACTACCGAATCTAATCAACGATGACGGCCGGTGTGGTCGACGTCGTCGCCAGTGACGGGCAAAGCCGTGAGGATCAAGCACTGAGATGAGAGGAATTCTAGAACCACGTCTCACTCAGTAGTTCATACTGACGGTATCCTCTGCTTGGTCGTGGGCAAAAGTTCACATACGAAAACCACTGGAAAAACTGGAATTTTGACGATAGTAACTCCACAGCTGTCGATATGTACACTTCGAGAAAAGTGAATGAAGAAGGAATTTAAATATCAATATCATTATTGAAACCTCAAAATAACCACATCGTGACGACGAACATCTGTGGCGCATCAACTCGGATCAATCTGGTTCTGAAGAAGACGGACGGAGACGTTTGAAACGCTAGGTGAATAAGACTTCTACATCTACCTCGGGTTTCCTTAATAATCCAACAACACACTATTATGATTATTTATGCCGAAGCTGAATAATAGTCGGTTTTTAGAAGAATATTGTTAAAAGGCTCCTAGAAGGAATACAAAAAGGTCAATTTGCTTCTGTGTTAGTGTAATGGATCTCAAATTAGTAAGTTTTCTTTTATCTAAAAACAAAATGCGAACAGAACTTCGGTTGTAAAATAACATTTGATGGGATTCTCAACAAAGTTTTGCGCGGAGCATCACTTATCCACAAACATTTTGCTCTTTTATGTCACTAAAACCATCATTTATTCATACATTCTCATAAATTTGCAGCACAAAATTGGTTTTACAACTTTTGAGTACTTTTCATAAGCAAGATATAGTTCTATGATATCCGGTGTTAATCGATAAAACGACTACGTTTCCCGTGAACGAATGAGTCCTTCAGGATTTCACGGAAAGCTGAACTCCCAACGGAGCGCTCATCTGAATTGTCAGTGACAGGATCAGTCCGGATCTACGACCACAAGATATCTCACATTTGTGATGTCACGTCGTAAAAAAAAAAGCCATCTACAACTAAATTTTCCTTACGATTCTTTAAGATCTTCAAAGAGGCTTTCTTATTTTCTCTAAGCGTAAAAGATTCTTTCCTTCCAGGTTTAAAACCTTATAAATCTTTTTACGAGGAAGGATTGCACATATTTTCTATCTAATTAATGTCAACTGGATCCTGTAAAAAAAACCTCAACGAAAAAAAATCTGAAATGGAAAGTGGCAATGCTTCGGTTCTCATTGCACAACACCACTAAGTGCGAAATATTACCTTGGTATGTGTTTTTTCGCTTCCCATAACTCACATTGGCGGAAAATCTTAACATCAAAAATCCTCCCATCTCCTTCTTAGAAAAGAAGTACACGAAATACACTTAAATGCAATACAAAATGCGTAGGATAGATTTATATTCAAATTATGTGTTTCAGAAGCTGAGGAAGGTAAGGGGCCGAACCGTTAGCTGAACAAAGTTTTTTCGGTTTTCACCAGTCTCATGTTAGCAACCAATCAATAAAAGAATGCTTACAGATTATATATATTATGCACTTATTAGTTTAAATGCCCAGAAATCATAAATACTCTACGGTTGAGCGCTATTTACGGAGCCTAATTGAAACATTCAGTGCAGCTTTATATCGGTAGACAATCTCCTTTTCCTCCAAGTTTAAACTTTAACGACAGCCTGTTTCACTGGATTTCATATGAATGGGAATTGTATTCAAATATTCAAAAGAAGCAGTAGAACAACAGAAACAACAACGACGACGACGACAACAACAACAGTAACCTGTATGACCCGCATGTTGAGGCCGGTTTCCTGTGCCAGCTGTTCGCGAATATGTCGTGTCGGCTTCGGCGTTGAAGCAAAAGCGTTTTTTAACGTTTCTAACTGAAAATGCAGCATTAAAAAACTAGCACATAATGAAGAAAAACAAAATTCTTTCTCATAATATTCGAATGGGAGAAATCATAAAAAACTTTGATGCCGATCGATTTGGACGACTTGACGTCACCGAGTCGATAAAAGTATTGTTCAAGTTTGGGAAACGGACGAAACGGTTAGTCAGTAGAATTCCGTGAGAACCCACACAAATAGTACGAACTCTTACAGTATACCTTACCTATGAATCAATAATGTATTCCTTGGCAACCCCACACGATTGTTGCACACTGTAAGAGAATTTCGGGATAATAATGGAACGCCAGGGGAATTTTGCGATAGTGGGAAAGTGATGTCAAACTAGGCAGAACTAGGAACTGTTAGTGTTTTTGTTTGAAAACGTTTAAGAATTCTACAAAATGGGCAACAAAACAACAAATCTGTTGAATAAAAAAACGACTTTACGACTTTACGGATACCGATAACATTTACAAACTTTTTAAGTAGTCCAAGAAGCAGAAAAAAGAGTTCTTCAGATTTATCGCAAGAATTTGGCAACCCGAATATTCGAATAATCGAATAAGTCGAACAGTAAAAACGAAACAACTAGAGAAGTCTTGAACACTACAAGAAGCAGAGCTTAAGCCCGGCCCGGCAAGCACTTTGCACTTAACACTTAATACGGTAAGAAAAAATCGTTGTTCATTAGCGAAGGCGGATTTTTTGCAAACATTTTTGCCTACGCTATTTCCTCAGGTATCATCAAAATAAAATCCATAGAAAATGACTTTCTCTGGATGTTAGGCGAAGAAAATCCACCTGCTTAGCTTTAATCGTAGTTCGTGGCCCACGTCGTTTTGCTGCCGCTGCGGCGTCGTCTTTTCCTTCACTATCACCGACACCCATCTCATCAACGGGAACCTGTCAATGCCGAATGTTCTTGTGCATTTATTTATACATATTTATAGCTTCCAATCGTTGTTTGTCAACAAAAACTATCCCTTCATAACAAAACTCTTCTTTTCCAATATGATAATATTTGGTCAATTTATGAACGAGCACCAAAAAATCCGAAAGAAGGTACGCGAGACCGCCCCTTCATTGCTACTATCAACCTGGCCAGAAAATGTTATTCTATCAAACAGGCAAATAGTTCATTGCAATCTGCCCCGATTAATTGAAAGAAAAGTCTGTAGACTCACATCCTCTGAACCGTCAACGTTTTCTTCTTCAGCATCTGAATTGCAGCCCGAACTATTTGATACTGTAAATAGTGTCTTCATCGATTATACAAAACAAAAACAACTGGAAAATCAATCGAATGGAATACGAATGCTCTTATGAAAATCTTCCTGCATATACCCCCGCTGTTTATCAATACCCGGGATGACCAGATGAGCAAATAAAACGGGTTACTGTACTCATTAAGATTAGGAACAGAACATGGATTATCGTGGGCGGTTCTCCTATGATGCGGAAGACAGCTGATGATGACAAACCGCGCTCAGTATGATGGCAGTGGGAGTTGACCGGATTTTATGAATAAAAGAAGAAAAAATTGAAGTCTTGTAAAAATGGGTAAAAGGATTCTGTCATAATGTTTGAAAACGAAGCAAACAGTATTTGCACTTCACTAAATTTCCCTACTTTCCTTGCCACCATGAGAAACTTTAAAACAAACGAAGTTTGGAAGGATTAGCTTCAACAAAAGAAGTAACCAAATATCGTTTTCGAAACTAATGGAAACAGATGTGACTCGGGTTTTATATCCTATTAGTCAATTATCCACCGTACATAATCGTTGTTTTAAAAAGAGCTAAGAGGGCTGGCGCAACCTGAAACGGAAAAACCAAAAACCAAAACCAACCAAAAACCAAAAAACCAACCAAACCCGCAACCCAACCCAACCAACTGGCGCAACCTCAGTACTGTTGACGAATCACAATTTGACGTCCTAATCAAGGGTAACCATTCCCTGACAATCGTCTGACTAATCGATGAGAGCACTTTTTGCTTGATATATGGCGCATGCTTTTCTAAGATTTCGAGACATAGTAAGTCTAGAAAATGGTAAGCATCAAGCAACAAAAAATACTTGGTGAACATCATTTAAAGCGCAAAGTTACATTTACGCTTTTACTATCCAGATTTGAAGCCAAAAGGAATAGAAATCGTCTACCATAGTCAACCAAAATTTGGCTCATCAAAAAAAAAAATAACCCTTGCATTGACGTCGAAACTAGTGCATTTATATAGAGACATTTGATGAAAAGAAGTTAGGATTTCAATGCTTAAATTCTTTATATTCGGCTAATATAAAATCAGAGTATGAACTGTGAAGAAACTCATATTTATCCCTGTTTCCAGAGACAACTCTGTTTTTCTCCACAGAACAGAGTGCAGTTACGAAGCGTGGATGGTTACGCAAAAGCTGCTAAGCTTAAATCGAAACCGTCCAGAGTGGATTTTGAAGAAACGAGAGAAAATCATGAAAAAAAGCATTACAAGGCAAGAAAACCATCACATTTATCACAACTTTTCCAAGGAAACCATGGGAAAAGACATTACGAAACAGTGAAAAAGACCATCGACTTCATCACTTAGCTTTCCCCGCATTCCAGGCACTTCTATGCCACCTATCGATTCGGTACACTCATCTCGACTCAGTGTTTCTGTCGACGAGTGCTTTTTTTGTACAGAATTCGGAATAAAAGGCAGTAGTGGTGTGATTGGGCACAGTTGAGTGCTGAGCCTTTTGTGGCGCACGTCGCGCCCTGTCGATGGCGGCGAGAGTGGCCGCTTAGCGCCCGCTAAGCTCCGTCCCGACAACTTTTCCCGAATTTACATAATCTGCTTTTTATAGCTAGGTAGGTGGTTTTGTATAAAAGTGTACAATAAAGTATATCAAACTGTCATAGGGTACATACCTGGTCGATTCGATGTTGATGATGGTGTTGAGCTTTTGGTGGCATTTCGAAAATCTTGCTGACATACGAAACGATTTCCTTCGAGAATGTACAACTGAAAAGTTTCAACGTCTATTTCTAGCAGTAACAAGTGCAAAAGTAGTAGACCGTATTAATTACCACATCGAAGTAGTGGAAAGGGTAAAAAGCGGAGCAGTCAAGAAGATGCATATATGTATATATATATGTATATCCACATATATATACATGTGCATACACGTATATGTAGATATATATATATATATATATATAACGAAACTTTACTTGCGATGCCTACAAAGAAAATTCAATTTGCCTTGATGGTTTTAAAGTGAAATAAAAATCAAATTCGGAACTTAACGACGGAAGACCGATATTTTTTTGTTAGTAGTACTTTAATAGCTGGAGGATTTCAACCTGTCTTCAAACTCTAGAAAAATGAATATGTGTCTCAGTAATACATTGAGCGAACGAACTTTTACTAATCTTTTTAACATCACAATGCGACATCAAAACGCCACATTCACAGAGGAAATTGATTTCAACCTATGTTAGTAAACTTTTTAATACTTCATCACGGCCTGCCTACTGGTTTATCGACTCCTCGGGGATGGGAGTGCTGCGAGGTATCAAGCAGCGTGCGATCCATCTCAGGAATGAGATCAACCGAACGCTCACAAGTTTTAAACATCCATCCGGATTCCCAGCTACAAGTAACCTTATGCCAAGGCAGAGCATTTTGGGTTCCGTCCAGCAGTTTAGTAATAGTCGCAGAAGCAAAGATCCTCACACCAAAACTATGATACTTACCGCATTCGGAAGGCGAGCGGAGCTCCTACGTGGGAAACACTGGTGCTGGCTCGAGATAGGCCGGGTTAATGCCGATGCAGATTATCAACCTTGCGAATTTGTCATTTCAAGATTAGATTTAGCGAAACGTTATTGCTCAAAAGGACATCGAAATCGAGCTGAGCTATAACTTAACGGCGAAGTGGCACTAAAAACTCATCAGTGACAAGAAACATGACCTATCTCCAGATGTTATAAAGTGAAAGTATAAAACTAAAACCACAACCATTGACTGCCCCTGTCGGTTGGGTCTTCAGTTGCCCCTGGGAATATTTTCCGAAAAGATGAATAGCCATCCAGTGACTCTTCACACACACACACACACACACACACAAACACAAACACAATGTTCACAAATCGCCAAAGCGTTCGGATGAAACGACCTTTTTTACTAGGAGCACTGATAATTTTGAATTTTATTATTTACTGAAGTAAGTTAAGGAGTTTCGATCGTCGACAATTGTTGACGAAGTCCGTCTACCTTAGAGCTAATCTTTATAATTAGAAAAGGAAAAAAGAGGCAAATAAATGAAAAGGATGAAGAAGGAGTGATGATATGAAGAGGTCGAAGGAAACGCCATACGAAAAAAGAAAAATCTTTGCGAAAAGTATGAACCTCAAATACGAAACGCTAATGAAAAATCACATCCAGCAACGAACAGAATGAATAGTTACAAAGATCCTTCCATTACAAAGTTGGAAAGGGAAAGAGTTGAATTTAAGTGCATTACCTTGTAAATTTAAGTCTTAGACCTTTACAATAGTATGTAAGATACAATGAAAACTGCTAAAATTGTTAGATAGAACAAGAAAATCCACGAAATCCATGATGGGAATCAAATTAAAAAGGTATCTCCTCACCTGCTCCCCGGTATCAAGTCTTCGTTGACAAATCGAACACTGAAAGCACTGAATGTGAAACACCTTATCACGAGCTTTTCTCACTAAGTCCTCTTTCTCAAGTGCACCATCGCAACCAGCACAACGTTGGCCGTATCGCCTATAAAAAGAATAAACGAAAGCATTTCTCTTCGTTGTTTCAGCTTTACGACTTTATTCTAGAGGTTATCATCTTACTAGTTATGTTGTTAAAGTACTTAGTTATTAAGACAGACAGTAAAGACCTGGTGAAGTCAATTCGGCAAAGAATCAGTCCGTCTCTGCTGAAACAGGTGTCGGTCATCGGTAATAGACAGTCTGAACATCGCAAACATGCCTGATGCCATGACTTCCCAACGACGTTGAACACATATCTTGAGAACGAATTATTGTTTTTATATCTAAGTTCCTGTAAAGTTCTATAACCTGCTCATCTATCTCTTCTTATCTCCTTTTGAAGCAAACTAAACATGATACTAACATTTCGTATTTGAATGATTTCTATGCGAAGATGCTGCATTCGCTTTTTTTATGAAGCACATAAACTCCATCTCTTGTAGACAACATCTAGGAAAATGCACTAAGTTCTCATTATGCCTGCTATACGATTCTTTGACAGCTTTTTACTTTTTGATCTTTAACAGTCACAACTGATCCTGGGTCCCCAGGGAACCACAATGGCTCAACCGGCGAGTCTCCAAAAATGGAAAAGTGGAGATTGTGCTGGCGCCCGCACAACTAGTAAAAGCAGGTCGTCCAGGTATACAAATATAGTCACAACTGTGAATTTTTCTTTCGACCTCTAACATTTAGCGACGAAAAGATCGTTATTGCTCCATAGGTTTTATATTCTATTATAGGAAAAAGATTATTCTATGAAGTCAAACCCCATGAAGATTTGTATAACGCTTGCAAACCTCTTTCCTTTTAACCATCAGCTGGGTGGTTAAGAAATTTGTTAAATCTGTTAAAACAGTTGAAAATGAAGAAAAATTAGTCCTTAAGGATTCTTACATTCCATTGGTGACTTATGTACAAAAACAGAAATAAAGGATTTAATTTAATTGTAAACATTTAAACACTGGAAAATGAAATTACAGTCAACTTCAACAGTTCAAAATCTGTAGTGACTGGTTATCACACAAGAACAAGAGGCTCAGAAATGAGTTTCCACTAGAAGTTGGATAACTGGCGGTTAGCCGACTGGTCAAACCGACGGTGGAACGTAGAATGATGTCCAGGCTCGAAAGGAATGGTCATTTTTTCTCATACACAATAAATCAAAGGTGAAATAGAAATCTGAAGCACGGATCGCCGAGAGCAAAACGATGGCCCATTCCCCGCGGGGAGTATTCATCATCGGCCAGAGTGAGGAGTGAATACTAACGGAAGCTGGCAAGAATCTCGTAACTCACTGTGGTGTTGTCGCTTCTAAGAGTATAGAAAAGAAACTCGACAAACATCGAAAAGAAAGTCTCAAATCAAGTTATAAAGTCTCTAAATTCACTCGGAGGTGTTCAAGGTGTTGTTAAATAGTAGAAAAACACAATGTGAGAATAATGGAAAGCTTGTATGATGAAAAGGCTAAAAAACGGCAATAGGGATAAACTGAGTACTGCGAGAAAAGTACACTTACTTACTTAACACTTGAATGGCCCGTTCTCACTGGTTGTGCGGGCCGCAGCATAACCTCCATTTTTCGGAGATTTGCTGGTTAAGCCATTGTGTTTCCCTGGAATCCCGATGTAAGCCTAGCCAAAGTCTGCCCCAGAAAAGTACAGCACCACCGAAATGGTAGGCCATAGAATGAGGAACATAGTTCTTATTCTTTTCAAAGAAACGATTTTCAGAATACTATCACCTAAGAGATGATTAGACAAGATTTCTGTAAAAGCGGGCATAGTTCATCTGGTTCAACGAGTTGCTTACTCTTTCTGGAGTACTAGATAGCTCCAAAAAGTGAACCATTACTCAAATGATAGCCATAATGAGTAGAAAATGTCCAAAAAAAATACAGTGGCCATTCAAATGGGTTCAACACAAGGCAAAGTAGTTCTTTGGCGAATTTAGCAGATTTACCTACGCTGATGACGACAGTAATTGAAAACAGTGGATTAAGATGGAATGTCAATATCGCTGACTAGAGCGCCAAACAAGCTGCTGCACACATTCAATTACCAGTTGTTGATTGAATATGAGTGAGGGAGCGAGAGAGGGATAGAGGTGTTTTTAACGGCAACTCAGCTCTAGACCAGGATAACCCAGTATGAACCATGACGAACTCAACGACTCAAATACCAGTAACTACCGTATCTCACCTGTCGAGAATTGGTTGAGCACAGGCAGCGCACTCGTTCATGCCTCTGTATGCTCGTCACGTGGGCGTGGTCAGCCCGGCATGTGGATACGGTACCTTGTCTTGGCCGAGAGGGGCGGGGTCCTTGTTGAGTCGACACCTCGAACGACCAGTGCAGGGGCAGATGGGGCTGATCAGAGGCCGGACCGATGGCAGACCAATACTTTATGGTGTGAAAGTGAGGCATAAGCGCGTTGGAACGTAAGGATGCATGTTACTTCGGCAACCATACCATATTGCCAGACGAGTGGAAAATTTCTATTACGCGATGCCATTATTCTGAGAGGAAGAAAATCGTCCAGATGGATATTCCGGACTCAGCTTCAAAACCAAAGTCATAATCGAGTTTCTCTTTACACTACTGTAATCGCAATTCGATAGATGAAACAAGGAGAAAATATAAGCAGATGAAGGAAAGTAAGAGAAAAGGGAACAGGTCTTTCCAATCATTGCATTGAATTATTATTAAAGGAATTAATAGTCACTGTGGGTCATGCAGGCTAATGAAATAACGGAACCTTCCACTCCATGTGTACAATGTTCAAGACAATTATTTTCGCGCAGGCTAGGGATCTTTAGATAGCTATAGAGCGCGTGTAGCGCAGTTGTTGGATGCGCCGCTGCGACACACACGCAGAATCGATCCCTGCGCCCATGGCCCACCAAGTCCTCCATCCTCTGGGATCGGCAAATTGGTACTAGTCTGGAAGGATAGCAGCACTGGCTCGATACATCGGTAGTCTACCGCGAGTCATTGTAAAGGTCAGATATGCACTCAATCATCTTCAAAGATACTTAATGAGGTCGGATGCATGGCGCATCCCTCAGGGATTGATCAACGCCAAGAGCTCTATCCTCTTTTTACAGATCTTTATTTCCATATCAGACAATGCCAGTTTTTATCATTATCGGTGAAATCCTACCAATGCAAAACTACGAGAACAAAGCTCTGGTTAAGCAGTCAATAACCCGAAAACGCTTAGTCTCATTAAATAAAATCAATAATCCAGAGAACCTAGTTGACTCACATGCCAGTTCTTTTCTATAGCATTGAGGAAACACTACAAAATATTTGCTTAACAATAGACATCCAGCGAGAAAATCTTTGCAAACCTCAATTTACACCTCATATTTTAGTTGTAACTAAAGCACGGTTAACATGAGGAATAACGACAGATCCGTTACGAATGATTGGAATGTACAAAGACATCAAATACAGAAAGCCAAACAGGTAAACATATTCTCAAAAGTAGATGATCCACTGTGTACTGTACTGGAGAGAATTAAGGCGTTAGAAAAAAAAATAAAAAATCGAGCAGAGCAAAAAAAATACGTGTAATAAACTATTGTCATACTGCCACGACCGACTTTCTATTAACCTCGGCATTGATCAAGTGATTTTCTTCGTATTTTTGTTAATTTTGTAACACCTCGCGTTTGCTCAACAAAAATACGAAGAAAATCAACTACGACGCTTCTTAACTTCTATCGGAGAGTCGTCGTACATCTCCGAACTCAAGCCTTCTTTTCCCGCAGAATCAGCAACAATGACACTACTGCCTGACATTGGCTGCTGTTCACCTTCCTTCTTCTCCTCTTGCTGCTCTTCACTTTCCTTCCCCTCCTCCTCCTTCTTCTCCACGTTTTTCGTTGTTTTCTTCCGGAAAGCGAACAATAAGTACATACAAAACGCCTCCCATTCTGATTTGGACAGCGTCCCCTGAAATTAATCACATAATTTTTTTTCTACACCATGTGAAAATCTGACAACCTTGACTCATTTCCGCTTCTCTTACATCTAACCGTACAACAGATTTTAAGAACAAGAAGAACCTCAGCAAAATTAATCGAGTGGCAAGAACCGCTTTCTTTTCTTTCACATTCTTTCCAAAGTAAAACAGTCAGTCCAACACTACTTACATACAACAAAGCCTCAACTGATGAAATGAACAATCGAACTAGAAGAACAAAATGTATTAAAAGAAACAAACGTTGGGATGAAAGTCAGACATTAAAAGAAATAAAGCCTTGAATGAAAGTAAGAATTTATCGAGAACTCCAGTGGTGTGGATGAATGTGCAGTTGCACACTTGAAATAATCTTTATATAACGATAAAGGTTAACGATATCTTATGTAGACGTCACTCACAATACGTGGAGACTGCTTAGAGTCCAACGATTTCAGGAATTCCTTCGCTTGGTGATATTCTGACTCGTCAGCTGACAACTTGGCACCATTTCTAGCTGGATACATTTCCAAACCCTCAAATGATTTTGACGATAAAACAATGAAGAACAAAAAACACAGACAAGAAACTGGTTAAGATCGAGACATTAAGAGTGACACTTATTTGCTTTACAACAAGAACCTGTAAAATAGCATAATATAATAGAATATTTCTTTGGAAAACAGAATACGAAATATTCTAACAGTTCCATCTATAATAAAAAAAAAAACTATACAACCACCATATCAAAGCTTACCTGCATTCTACTCAATAGGTGCCTCCCATTAGTTTCCCAGTGTTCAAGAGCCTCTGGGAATCGCCTCATAAATATCAGTTCCATGTCTAATTCTTCTAATAGACTGCGAAAAAAAAAAGTAATTAGCACAGTATTATTTTTAAAATGATATCAATCACATAGAAGAAAGGGAAAAGAAGAACTCTCAAGTCCATACAGCCCACGAGCCTAGAAAAATACACACGAGAACTTCTACAAATGACGCTTTCTGGCTTCATCTCAAATCCAGAGAGCGACCTTAACCCTTAGGCATATTTCTATAATCCTTTTCTGTTGGATAACATGACTTCTAACTATGTAGGTACCAAACCAGACAACACTGTCCACTGATATTAAGGCTAATTAGGAAGACAACTTCCAAAACGAAATTTCACCAACACTTAACAAAAATTTGACGTAAATGCATGAATAGTGTACTAGTTCATCCATCACTGTCCGTTTTTTGTTCCAAATCCTCAAACTACGAGAATTTTCTCGGAACTTCAAATAGAAAAAAAACAGTACTCTAGTCTCGTCAACCTCATGTGAATCATTTACTAGGTAAACAACAAA